AATATTAGTAGAATTCCTGCTGTCCACATGTCGGCAATGTAGACTAGAACTGACTTTAAGACTATCATGAACACGACCGAATACTTTAATTGCATCAGAAGGCTGTTATTCTGAAATTCATCCACATCAACAAAATCAAATTTATGATCTTGAACCTCTTCCCTTTGCCATTTTGCTTTTGAGAAACACATTATACATGTATGTTTATTTGAAGAGTGTAGTATGGAATTAGGTGAGCGTGTACTTTCTTTCTCTTAGTAGTTGTGATTATTAGGACGATTATTTCATTATATTTACAAAAGTTTACTAAACAATTCACAACTCAAGAGACCCAGCAATTCAGAGATTGAGAAAGTCGATGGAAATTTCGTTAGCGGAAGAAGTTTAAAGGAATGAATTAAATTTTGGTTGGAATTTTAATATTTTTTTTGGAATTCAGTTCATTTTTGTAACCTTTGTAAATTATTATTTGTCGTTCAATCAGATGTTCATGTGAAATGTAAATGTCTATCGTTTCAAATCGATTTTTGGTGTCATTTAAGATCGTAATAAGCACACCAAGAATGAATGTTCGGTGTAACTCTTCTTCGAAAATTCATCAACAGATCTTATTATAATACATATTTTGATGTAGTATTATCCCATAGGCCTTTATCTTTATGGCGGAAAGGACATTTGTTGGACTCTTTTATCTAACAAATAATTTTTCGTGTGTGTAACCCTAACGGTCATTTATATAACATTCAATAAATACCCTTTTCTCATCGATTTATAAAGATTAGCCTGTTAAACATATATCATTATACGTACAGTATAATGCTCCCAAACGGTTTATTTCCGATGCAATAATGGTACGTTTTCATAATAAAAATCAACCTTTAATACCATTTATTTATTTATTTGTTTGTTTAATAATAATGCTATCATTATTATTATTTTGCTATGATTAAAATAATTTAATATAATTGCATAACGTGATGCGATATAACCAAATTGTTTAATTGGTTGCATCACCTGATTTATACAATACGTATTTTTAATAGGATAACAGATAATAATGAATAACTTTCAATAATTATTACGTATTAAAAAAACAATACACGATTATTGTACGAACGAGTATTTATTTTATGATTAAATTACGTATATTCAAATGTAATATATTTCATTAATAATTGTAACTTTTTTTGAAAATTTTTTTAGATATAACTTAAATATAAAAATATTTATTGTTATTGTTATTATTTTAAAATAAGATTTCAAGTTATTATTATTTGTAATTACTAAAAATTGGTTAAAATATTTTAAATATTGTCTTCAAAAAAAATTAATTTAATCAATTATTTATTAATTATTATTATTTTATTAAATAAGATTTAGACTTTATATTTAAATAATCTTATATATGATAATATTATTATTAACCATAAATCTAATCAAGTCAATTTATTTAAGTTAATATATCTAAATTTAAAAAATCCAAATAGAAAAAATAATAATAATTAAATAATAAAAAATTATTAGTCATATTATTAATTGCATATATATATACGTATATGTATTTTTATAATAATAGTAATAAAAAAGTTATGTTGAATTTTATTTAAATTATAATTTGAATCTATATAATTATATAATTAAGAAAATATATCAAAATGTATATATATAATTATTAATTTTATTATTAAATATGGTTTTTTTTATAAATTTTGTAAATTAGATAAAATAAAAAAAAATAGTTTCTTAAAATTAATATATAACATTATTAATAACATCTTTTTAATTAACTTTTTTAATTGGATCAAAGCATTAATTGAGATTTTAATCTACTTATACAAATTAATTTAAATATTTTACTATATTAAGACAAATATATTTTTTCTTATTAATATTAAATGAAATTTTATTAATTATAATCATAAACTTTTATATCCAAAATAGATATAACCTTTTTAAATATATTTCTAAACTAATATTCAATTATTTTAATTTCTTTTTATTTAATATTAAATAGGTAATCATAGTTGCTTAAAGTCTTTTAATAAAATATATTGTTTTAAAATTTAATTTAAATAATTATTATTATTATATATATTTTAAAAAAACTTTTTTAATAATAAAAAATATTTAAATTTTATTTTTACTAAAGTTTCAAATAAATATTTAACTTATAATAGATTTAATATTAATTTAATATTTAAATAATATTATTAGAAATCTTAATATTTACTTTTAATTTAAAAATCTATTTTTATTTTTAAACTTTTTTAATGTATTTTGTTAACTTAATATATAACCATTAATTATAAACAAAATATATTTAAAGTTTTAAATTATAAAACTTATTATTATCATAAGTTATTTTGTATTGAGTTTTTAAACAAGAACATAAATTTTTAAAAAAAAAATTATATTTTTTTAATAACGATATTTTTAATTTATATAAATTTGTATACTTGAATAAAATATTGTATATTAAAAGATTAATAAAAAAATATAAATAAAAATAAATTAATTAAAAATAAATATATTAAATAATAAAAAAGAAATTATTTTTTTTATAATATAAAAAGAAAAAATAATTTAATTTAAAAAATTTTTTTTCTTGAATATTTTTAAACAATAATTAAAAAAATCGAAATTAAATAGTAGATAATAATAAAAAACTATTTTTAATAATTAAAAAAATAGTTTAAATAGAAATTTCATTTATTAAAAAAAAAAAAATTGTTAATTTTTTTATATATTTTTTATAAATAAAATTATAAAAACTTTAATATAAGCTAATAAAGCTTTAATATATTAATTCAAATTTTTGTTTCTGAATAAATTCATAATAACAAGCTAATATATTTGAATAATTTAGATTAGATTTAAATATAATTTTATTTATATATAATAAATTTTGTATAATATATAAATATAATATATACATAATAATAAAACTAATAAAATAAAATTTAGCTGATACTATAAAATAAAATATATTTTAAATATTTAATTTTTAAATATAATTTTAAAAATATTTAAATTCATTATATTATATATCCAATAATTTTTATTATTTTTAATTTAATTTTATATTATTCTTATAAGATTATTTATAGAAGTAATACTGTTTATTTTTGTTGTTAAAAATTTGTTTTATATTTTGTGTTTGATATTAATTGATATTAAGAATTCTATATATTTGAGACCAAGTTTAACCATGTATAGTAAGTGTATTTAGAAAGAATACATTTAAAATATTTTCTCTGTACATATAAGTTTAAATTTAAATATTCTATTAATTATTTGCTTAAAAAAAATAAATAGATAGTCTTTGTCTTTATTATAAATCAAAAATCTTTTCAACCAAATTCTTTATAATTTTTGAATTTCTTATTTCATTTTATTTTTGCAAGTTTGACTATTAGATCTATTCAATCATTTAACTATAAGTTGTTCTTTGTTGCTTTCTAAAATTAAGATCAAGGAAAATTTAATAATTATTTCATTACGCACGTTATTAATCTTTAGATATGTTTTTCATTAAATGGGAAATAATTAAAGGTTTGAAATTTAGACGTGACAAATCGTGTGTGACTGACATTTAATGATTATTTACTAACCAATCAAAAGTATAAATAGAATCCACCAAATTTTAAACGAGCGCATACCATCAACCTTTCAATTAAGAAATAACCAACCATGAGTGTAAAGGACATTGATATGAAAAACACTATAAACAAGTTTGATACGATGTTGGAATTGGTTGGTAAAATGAGTCAATTCGGGTTTTTCTTAATTAGACACTAACCTAGTGTTAGCGACACCGTTTATTGTTAGATAGAAAATCTTCGGGGCTCCTTTAACAACATTTGCGATTACCTAGACGAAACCTGGAAGATATCCAGCTTTCAAGGTAAGATAATGCTTTCGTATTCTTACATTACCCAATTGTAGTGACAAAAATTTTTTTAATTTGAAGAAAACACGAGTAGTTTGGAACGGAAGAATGGTGAAAACTTTGTGAAATTCTTTGATTCAGATAGGTTTAGCATAATGAATGACGCGTGTATGGATATGCTGGATCAATTCTGCAATTTAGCGGAATC